CCCACCTGCCGTCACCCTGGAGGTCCATCCAGGGGTCCCTAGACCTCAGATCCTCAGTGAGCCCCCTGTGTACAGGAAACCCTGGACCTCAGAGGGACCCCACACACATGTCCTAGACTAGCCTGCAGAAAGCCCCACCTGAAGGGCCCCATCAAGGAGCTCCCTGCTAGAGGAGACCCAGCTTAAGAGCCATCTGCACCCCAGGCCCCACCCTCAGTGAAATCTGTCAGGGTGACTCCAGGAACATCCAGGTGGTCACATCCCATAGATCCCCTCCCACCCACTGAGCGGAGTGCTGGGTACTTGCGCTTGGCCCAAGTGCAGCTCCATGGTCCCCTGGTTTTTAGGGGCCCCAAGGACTGGAGAGGGTCCAGCTGGATAGCTTCAGGGTAGGGCCCCTAGCACCCCCAGCCAACATAGACGGGAGCTGAGACAGGGGAGACCCCTGGCCACCAGATTGGTCTATAGCAGGCCACTTCCTCATCAGCCTGGTTCCGAACCATCCGCACTGCTTAGGTCAGATTCCAGAGGTTCACCCCAGTGCTGCGTGAACACCCACCTGGTTGAGGCCCTCCCTGTCTTGTCTTCGAGACATTTACGGCCCCGGGACAACCTAAGCTCACTGCCTCAAATGACCCCACAGGGACAGGGTAGACCTGCCCAAGGCTGTGTGTTTTACTGAAGCAGAAGCAGACTGTCCCGTCTGGGAAGCAGCTGGTGAGGCTGAATAGCCGTCTTTTCAGTTAGCAACCAAACACTTTAGCCAGTGTGCCACCAGGGCTCCTTAGGGCAGGGTGTCTCCAGGCCCTTTTGTAGAGCTGCACCCATGGGGAAACATCTCCCCTGGGCCAATGGGAATTGCCTACCCGTTTTGGTGGTTTGTACTATTGTAGGGGACAAAAGAGCCTCCACCTCTCCTGTGAAATTTGCAGAGAACACCCCTGAAATCTTAAAGACACCTCGTCCAGTGGCGGGAGGCCATTAGCAGGAAGTCACAGCGATGGCCAGGGGCTTACAGAGAATTGGGGGCTTAAACAGGACGCAGCCTTGAGGACAAAGGAAGCTGTTGCAAAGCAGGATTGGAGCCATGAGTGTGAGACAGAAAAGTGGGCAAGAGTGGCCCAGTCCCCTCCGCCCAGGGTCGTCAGGAGCTGCCCAGTATCCTAAAGTTCCGCCAGAGACACACTGAGGCAAGGTGCCGCAGCTTGGGCACCCCTCCCTGGACTGGCTAAGACAGGTAGCAGTCCTCGTTCTCACCCTGGCCTGAGGGCAAAGGAAAGTCACTTAGCTGGTTAAAAGGCTGAAGGAATTCAACTCCAAACTCACTCGCTGCCAACGAGTAAATGCTGACTCCTGCGGATTCTGTGCAGATTTAATCCACGTAGAGACTCAAAATTGGATTTGGGGTTTTCACTGTTACCAGAAGCCTTCCGCAAACAGTGCTCAGACATTAAACTCTAATATAGTACTCAGACTGGAAGCCAGGTGTGGGCATTTCTTCACCATGTGTCTACACCTTCAAAGCCAAAACCAATCTCCCTGCCACCTAGTCAATGACCGCTCATGGAGTCCCAATAGGGCATGGTAGAACTGCACCTGTTTCTCAGACTGTCACTGTACGGAAATAGAAAACCTCATCTTACTCCTAACAAGCAGCTGGTGGTTTCGAACTGCAGACCTTGGGGATTGCAGCCCATCACATAACCAATATGTCACCAGGGATCCTGTATATACCCCATTGCTCTGCAGGAATCTTCAGCTCCCCGCTCCATGGCAGCTGCTCTTTATCCTGAAAGGACAAGGTTTTCTTTTGTTCAACCTGGCACACCGCCTTTATCGCATAATTAGATGTGGCTCCACTGGCGCATATACAGGGGGCCCATCTCATGACTCTGGCCCTGAGGGAGGGCAGCAGGGCTGGGGGAAAGGGGAGAGAGCCCCTGGCAGAACCTGCTTTGCCAGGATTAATGGGGTGAGCAGCGTGATGGCCCACGTGCCAGCTGGTGGTGGGTCTGCTTACTCCCTGAAGGAGGTGTGCTGTTGGGGTCGCCCCGCCTCTGTGTGGAGCTTGGGAGCTAGTGGTGGACATGGCTGCTGCGGCCCAGAAGCCTTTGTCCTGGGAGCAGGCTGTGCTCTGGGTCCCGGTCAGGTGGGATCAGGTGGTGTATGTCCTGTCACTGTGGTGACGCCAGAAGCCTCGCCTCCAGCCCAGCCACCTCCTGGAGAAACACCCCATCACTTCCTGGATGATTCTCGTGATCCTGTCACAATGCTGACCCCACCCTGCAGGCGGGGTTTCACTTTTAAATGCTCTTCAGCCCTGCTGGCCTCAAGCACATACACTGCCCTTCCTCTTAGGAGCAGCCAGCTCTGTGAGCCAGCAAGATGTCGGCCCTCCAGGACCTGTTCCGGTACATTGACGAGAACCAGGACCGCTACGTGAAGGTAAGTCTGTGCCCTGCCCTGCGGCCCACCCCAGGACTCCGGGAGGCCACCCGACTGCTGCTCAGAGACTACACTGGTCACGGGACCATCCCCTCATCTCCACGACACAGCAGAAGTTACCCTGGTGGCTTTTAGCCTCAGGACCCCATGAAGAAGATGTCTAGGACAGCCACACTAAGCAGATAAAATGGGGGGGGGGTGTCACCTCCCCAGCACTTCCTGGTGCTGGGGTACCACAGGCCACAGGACCAGTGTGCAACATAGCCTGTCCCGTTTATGGCTCCAGGATGCTTCAGGGACTCACTGCTGGGTTGTGTACAGATCTGGCTGGGGCTTTAGGTGTAGGTCATGTTTTGATGGTGTTCTCAGACCAGTGTGAGATGAAGAAATGAAACCTTGGGGACTGTGATCACTGTGAGAGGACACATGGCTGACATGCTCTTTGGACTGGCTGGCTTTCACTTTCCTCTGGCTGCCGTGCCGCAGGGCGGGCGGGAATACTTTCTGTACCTTCATCTCCGGCCTTGGGGTTACAAATCCTGCTCCGGCTGCTGCTGCCCTGGGCACCCAGTCAAGCCCACAGGATGGTCTCAGATCTCGGAACAGAAAGTGAGCATGGTGGACTGCTGGTAACCGACTGCCCCCTGGCCGGCCAGCGGGGTGGGAGCCAGTCCTTCTGCCCCCTGCAGGCGTGCCTCTCTAGCCCCGCCTCTGCTGCTTCCCCACACACAGAAACTGAAGGAATGGGTGGCCATCCAGAGTGTGTCCGCGTGGCCCGAGAAGAGAGGAGAGATCAAGAGAATGATGGAGGTGGCGGCCGCCGACATCACCAAGCTTGGGGGCTCCGTGGAGCTGGTGGATATCGGGATGCAGACGGTATGGGGGCACGGGGTAGGGGTGCATGGGTGGGGTATGACCCACGTGAGACAAAAGGACGTTCAGGGTAGCATCAGCTACGTTCCACTTGCCCTCCACCATCACTCACCCAAATTCCCCCACCCACCGGGCTCTGCTCAGCCACAACGGGGAGCCCCTCCTCGGGAGAGTGAACAGAGCGTGGCAAGTTCTGAACGGATCTTCAGCCTTAGAGGGAGAGTGAACAGGGTGTGGCAAGTTCCGAAGGGATCTTCAGCCTTAGAGAACCGGCTTGGCTTTACCGAAGACAGGAGGGCTGCTTCGGACACTGGCAATGCAGCGCCGTTTCTCCTGTTGGAACAAGAACAGGGGCTATGGCTCTCGGCGTTTTTCTCCAGGAGGGAGCCGTGCTTCAGGTTTTCGAGAGCGAGCCATGGTCATGTTCCTTCTACCCTGTCCAACAGAGTCGCTGGGCGTTGCAGTGGACTCAGTGGCAATGATGTTAGCATTCTGCCATATTTGCTTCCCCCAAATCTTTAAAAAACGAATTGCAGCATAGTAACTTTGACCTCTTCCATTTTCTATACCTTTTTTGTAAAGGGGGTGTTTTATTTTGTAACCATAACATCTGTGATGCCCCACAAAATTATGAACAGCTCGTTAGTACCCTCTTATGGTAGTTACATAATCTCATGTCAACTTGAAGAGGTATAAAACGGTAGGGGTTATTCAACCTGTTAGGTCACAGCCTTCTGGTGCCTCCTTGTGGGCGTGGCCTTCTTATAAGAAAGGTCCTGGGACCCTCCCCCTCTCTCGGCTTTCAACTTCCTGCTGACTGAACCTAGTTGTTGCCAGAACTGTGGAGGTGTTACTACCGCTACTGGATCCACATGACTGCACCCCTGGCCTGTGATATTCCTGCATTCTGCATCATTGCGTGTGGCTGCGTGAGTCTACAGAGGGACTTAGGGATTGTATCAGACTTAGGGACTTGAGTTGGACTGGGCTGGAATGTGTTCCTGGTATGTAATTATTTCCTGTTGTACAGCTCTTTCTCACACATTAAAAAAAAAGTTACCGATGACTGCTAACCACAAGGTTGGCGGTTCAAAACCACTAACCTCCCAGTGGGAGAACAGTGAGGCTGCCTGCCTCCATGAAGGCTTCCAGCCTCGGAAACCCCGTGTGTGGTGTGGGGGGGGCGGGGGAGGGAGGTGTCACTCACTCCAAACCAAACCCACAGCCATCAAGTTGATTCCGCCGGATAGCAACGCCACGGAACTGAGGCCGTGAGTCTTTACAGGAGTCTCACCGGCGTCCTGTGGAGCAGCTTGTGGTTCCAACCTGCTGACTGTGGGGTTAGCAGGTCAACTCACGACTGACACACCTCTGGAGCTCCTCCCTGTCCTGTAGGCTCGTTGTCAAATAGCAGCGGGGTTGCTTTTGAGTTGGCTTTAGTGGGAAGGAGCCCTGGTGTGGGTCATACACTCCTGGTGGTCAGCACTTCGAGCTCACCAGCTGCTCCAAGGGCAAAAGATGAGGCAATTTCCTCCTGAAAAGATTTACCGTCTCGGACACCCCAAGGAGCAGCTCCGCTCTGCGCAATGGGATGCTCATGAGATTGGGGATGGTCGTTGTGAGCCCAAATGGAAGAGGTGGCAGTGGTTCAGATTTTAGTGTTGGTCCATTTCAGGTGTGTCCGTCTTGCCGCCAAGTGGTAGCCCACCATGCCCCCAGGACCCCTTGAGATACAGTATTTTATTGAATGAGGGTGTATTTCATGCTATCCCTTCTCAGAGCCTCTGCGGGGTTCATCTCCCTCTCCCGTCCCGGTCCTTAAAGTCGGGTATCCTGTGGAAGCCCCCTCCCAGCTCTTTGCTTGCAGTACCTTGTCACTGCCATGCTTGCCCTGGGAGGTGGGGACCTTTTCCACAGCTGGGCTGGGACACAGTGGCTATTTTTTCAAGGTGGAGACCGTGGGCTTGGTGTGAAAGTTGGCAAAGACCAAAGTCCCATCAAAACCAAAATGCACTGCAACCGAGTGACAGGCTCTTCTGCTCAAGGAGCAGCTAGTGGGTTTGAAGTGCTGACCCTGAAGTTAGCAACCCAGCCCCTTTATCCACTGTACCCCCAGAGCCCCTTAAGCCCCAAACCAAACCCACTTCCACCAAGTCACGCCAACTCATAGCAACTCTATTGGACAGGGTAGAACTACCCCAGTGAGTTTCTGAGACCATGACTCTATGGGAGTAGAAAGCAGAGTGGCTGCTGGTTTCAAACTGCTGACCTAGCGGATCGCAACCCCATGTATAGTTACTACTATGCCTCCAGGACTCTTGTTCCAGGGCCCGGGGCCCTTTGGGGGTAAAAGTTGATGAGCCTCCACTTGTAGCTAGAAAGATCCCAAACTGCCGTCCTGTGCCCTGCTCCCATGGGCTCTCAGGGGCTTGAGGCCTGAGAACAAAGCTCAGGAGATGCCCCCTCGGAGCTCAGTGGAGTGCCGCTCAACCCGAGTGCCCACTAGACTTCCCCACTCCCCGGTGGGCAGTTCAAACCAGCAGCGTACTGTTGCTTCAGGAAATGGCTCGCTGAGCCTCATTCCCAGGCTACCTCCATGGTCTGTCTGTCACCTAAAGCTCACCTGACTACAGGTGGTGGGGAACATCACCCAGCGGGTGTGTTCTGGATGATAGGAAAGTAAAGTTTTGCTACATGGACCTTGGAGGTGCAGTGGTTACATACGATGGTCTGCCAACCACAAGGTCAGCAGTTCTAAACCACCAGCCACTCTGTGGGAGAAAGACGAGGCTTTCTACTCCTATAGAGAGTTACAGTCACAGGAACCCACAGGGACACTCTTACCCTGTCCTATAGGGTTGCTGTGAATCGGAATCAATTCGCTGACAGGGTTTGGGGAAGCTTTGCCAGGAGCCAGGGTGGCACGGTGGGTTCAAAATACCAGCTGCTCCTCAGGCTTAAAGTGAGGCTGCCGGCTTCTGTAAAGATGGTACCTGGGCCAGCCCTTCCCTGCCCTACACGGTCGCCCCGTGCCGGCCGTTTTGCTAATTGAGGGCATAGAGGATGAATGGAAATAGCTTCAGCACTGACCTCCTGGTCTATCCTCCTGCCCTCCAGCTCCCTGACGGCTCCAAGATACCCCTCCCCCCCGTCCTGCTGGGCAAGCTGGGTTCGGACCCCAAGAAGAAGACGGTGTGTGTCTACGGGCACTTGGACGTGCAGCCGGCAGCCCTGGAGGATGGCTGGGACAGCGAGCCCTTCACGCTGACCGAGCGCGATGGTAGGAGCCGCCCCATCCCTGCACCCCCCAGACCGCCCTGCGCGTCAGTGACGTTCCTGGGACCCAGGCCCGGGGGTGTGAGGGTAGGCGCCAGGCCCTGGGGCCTTGAACCCCCAGACTGCCCCACTTGGTCACCAAAGGTCTCCACGAGCCTCCTGGCTCTGACCTTTCCTGCTCAGGTCATCTCTGACTTTACCTGGAACCAGGAAGTGTCCCATAGCTAGCTGACACATGCCACACAGCAGCCCCACAGGGTCAGCAAGGTCAACATTCACCCTGAGGGAGAAAGAGGAGCCTGTCTTCGCCATAGAGACTCAAGTCTTGGGAGCCCCCAGGGGCGGTTCTGCTCCACCCTGTAGGGTCCATATGGGTCTGAATTTGCTCCAAGACATGGGTTTGGTTTGAGGGGTTTTGAGGTGCCTTCTTTCACATGGATCATGCCCTCCTCAGCCTGGGGCTCTGCCCATCACCCGCTCCCTCAGTCCCCCAAACCTGTCTCCTAGTCCCCTAGTAGCCGCTGAGGAGACAAGGTCAGACAGACACACCCTCCTCATAGACTTACCCCCAACCCCCTACCAAGATGCAAGATGCTGCCTCCCTCACCCTCATCAAGCAAAGCCCCAGAGGGTAGGGATGGAGTTGTGACCATCTTTGCAAAGCGCCTTGGTCAATGGCTGCTGCCCTGAGGGCTGGCAAGGAGAGCCCTGCTGGAGAAAGTGTCACCCCCGATGCGCAAGGGTGCCCGCCTTGGCAGCCCTGCCGGTGGAATGGGTCTGATGGCTGGGCTCTAGACCCCGGTTTGGTGTTACCACACAGAACAGGGTGGGAGGCTTGTCATGGTCTTCAGTGCAGACAGCAAGAGGATGAGGATGGTGCAGGACCAGGCAGTGTCCCGCTCCGCCTGCGCCAGGCACTGGCCACAGGGCGCTCGGCTAAGGCAGCATTGGTGAAAATTTGCCAGGGGAGTTTCTGAGGCCACTGTGGCCTTGAGCCAGCCTCTCCTGGGCTGGGTCCTGTTGAAAAATCTAAGCTGACATGGAATGCAGAAAGGTGGCTTTCTGGAGAGGGCTTAGCCCTTGGTTCACCGACCGGGTCATTGGAGGGAGGAGGGTGCTCACCCCTGGCCTCGAGCCGGGCTGAAGGGGACAGATGGAGATGGGCAGCCCTTCTGCTTCCAGGGTGACCTGAGAGTCCTCCGCACCGTCCTCACACGGGGGTCGAGATGGGGCTCCTGCTTCTGACCCGGGCCTCACTCCCTCCCCCCTTGCCTCAGGCTGCTTCTGGTGAATCAGTCTACCTCGCAGTCCAGCACGGAAGCCCGGGGCTGCCCATTCAAAACAGGGAAGAGCCCAGGTGGTCCCAGGACCTAGGGTGCCAGGCTGATGACAGGGGGGCGGGGGGGTTAAGGCTTGGTCGGTCACTGGCGTTGAGCCCCTAGGCTGTTCCCCAGGGCACCTGTGCGGGCAGCCCACCCACCTACCCCACCCTGTCCCCAGGGAAGCTGTACGGGAGAGGCTCCACAGATGACAAGGGCCCGGTGGCTGGCTGGATGAATGCGCTGGAAGCTTTCCAGAAAACAAGCCAGGTGCGGACACTGCTCACAGAACAGCTCGCGCGGTCAAGGTCTGGGAGGTGGGCCGCGGCCCGCTCTAGGCTGCGCCTGCACAGGGGACTCAGCCCAGGGTGGCGGAGCATACATGAGGCATTGAATGGTTTCACAGGCGGCCAAAGGTCCTGATAGCCAAATGGTGTGACCTACTCGTGGGCTTGCCCCATGCAATGGGTGCTCAGTCAGCATTGCAAGATCTCTACTCAGCACCCCCCTTTGCCCCCTGTTGGCAAGGGGGCTCCTCTCCCTTGCCCCCTCCCGGGTCTGTGTGCCTGGGAGGGCACTGACTCCCCGTGGTGGCTCTGCCCCAGTCAGCACTGCACTCCGGGGTTTCCCTGGCTGGTTTGCAAACGTAGATCGCCAGGCCTTTCTGATGCAACACCTCTGGGCGCACTGGGACCTCCCACCATCTTCTCAGTGAGCTAGCTGCCAGGCTCCCACAGATCACAGCTCATCTCACGGGAGGGGTGTGATGCCCAACTGGATCTCACCTCACCCAGCGCTTGGGAATCTCAGGGTGGGTAGCTCAAACCTCCAGCCGCTCCCCAGGGGAAAAGTGAGGCTTTCTGCTTCCAGACTGGCGACCTGGGAACCTGTGTGGAGCCACTCTTTACATGGTTTAGGGGTTCCTATGCCCAAAAGGAGGAGCCCCTGGTGGCACAGTGGTGACCTGTCGGATTACTGACCTCAAAAGTCAGCAGTTCAAAACCACCTGCTGCCCCACAGGAGGAAGATGAGGCTTCTCTGCTCCCGTAAAGAGTGACGGTCTTGGAAACCCACAGGGATAGTTCTGCCCTGTCCTGTAGGGTCTCTGTGATCCATGCCAGTGTGTTTGCAGTTTGGGGGTGTCAATCAGGAGCCCAGAGGCGCAGGGGTTAAGCACTCCCTTACTGAAAGCTGGGCAGTTTGCTTCCCTTCCCCCACCCACCACCCAACCCTGCCAGCTCGGGAGAGAAGGCTGAGACTGGTTGGTCTGCACTTGCTCCAAGCAGCATCCTCATGGCAGGGAGTATGGAGGTGGGGCCTCCGTTTCTGGGCTCTAGGCATCGGTTGTAGTTCTCATGAGCTGGGACGGGGCTCGCCGTTAAGAGGCAGGTCCTGGAAGCAGGAGGGCATGTTGCCTCCGTATGGAGGGGAGGGCAGGGGAGCAGGCAGGGGGCGGGGTACTTTGCCCCAGAGGTTTCATGTCAAGAACCCACAATCCCTTGGCAGGAGGTCCCTGTCAACGTGCGCTTCTGCCTGGAGGGCATGGAGGAGTCCGGCTCTGAGGGGCTGGACGAGCTCATCTTCGCCCGGAAGGACACCTTCTTCAAGGATGTAGACTACGTCTGCATCTCCGACAACTACTGGCTGGGCAAGAAGAAGCCGTGCGTCACCTACGGCCTGCGGGGCATCTGCTACTTCTTCATGGAGGTGCCCTGCCTGAGATGGGCTCCCGGAGCACCCTCCCGCAGCCTTTAGCCCGCAGTCCAGGGCAGGGCTGTCACGGGCCCACACAGAGTGGTTGTCCCCTAAGCATGCAGTCCCTGCCCCCTCAGAGAGGAAAGCCGCGGAGCTTTGAGTCTTAGGGCTCAGGGCCGAGAGCGCATCCCCCTCAGTAGCCCCAGAGGAGTGAGGTCAGGGCAGGAACTGCTGGGGATCTCCAGCCAGGGTGGCCTCAGCCTTCCCCCTTGAAATGGCTGCAGGGCTCCAACTGCCGGCCTTTCCGTCCATCCGTCGCCCATGCTTACCTCCCTGCCCCATGGTACCCAAAGAGGGGCGGGCGGGCAGTTTTCTGGGGGACAGGGTCTCCCCTCCCCCAGGGCTGCTGTCTGTGCAGAGTCCTCGCTCTGCAGCCTCTCTGGCCCCTGTTTGAGACGGCCCCCACGAGTCCCCTCTGTCCTCAGGTGGAGTGCAGCAATAAGGACCTGCACTCGGGTGTATACGGGGGCTCCGTGCACGAGGCCATGACCGACCTCATCACGCTGATGGGTGAGTGCTCCGGCAGGACAGGGCAGAGGCTCCAGCACGTGCAGCGGGCCGTCCAGTCCCTGTGCTGACTGCAGCTGCCCGCCCCCAGGCTCCATGGTGGACCGCAGGGGCAAGATCCTCATCCCGGGCATCAACGAGGCGGTGGCCCCCGTGACAGACGAGGAGCTGGCGCTCTATGACAACATCGACTTTGACATCAGCGAGTACTCCAGGGACGTGGGTGCCCAGACGCTCCTGCACAACTGCAAGGTGCCTCTGGCAGGCTGTCCCCGGGTCTGAGCACTGGGGGGTCCGAGGCAGTGTTGTGGGGCAGTAGGGGGGTGTCAGGTGTGCAGGGTCCTCCGCAGGAAGCACGTTCATACAGCTCCGGGCTGCTTGGGCTGCAGCCTCGAGGGGCTGGGGCAGGTCGAGACCAGGTGCCCAGCACCCCATGGGGGGAGGCCTGTGTGGCTGGCGGGAGATCCAGGCATCCACCTCCCACAGAAAGACATCCTGATGCACCGTTGGCGGTACCCGTCGCTGTCCCTGCACGGCATTGAAGGCGCCTTCTCCGGGGCCGGAGCCAAGACCGTCATTCCCCGCAAAGTGGTGGGCAAGTTCTCTATCCGCCTGGTGCCCAACATGACACCAGAGGCCGTCAACGAGCAGGTAGGCGGGGCCTGGGACCCGGAGACTGGGAGGAGGGGCTCTGGGTGGTGACCAGGGCTTGGGCTACAATGTGGGCCTGGGCGATGTTACTGATTCAGGGCACATTGATAAGCCAGCTCCCATCCTAAACTGTCCCTGCTGAGGCTCCAGGTGACCTTCTGTGCCAGGTCCCTGGGCGGCCTGGCTCAGTGCCCAGCTGGAGACCCTCAGCTCCTGACAAGGAGGAGAGAGGAATGAAGGCAGCATCTGTGCCCTCTCAACACCCCCCCACCCCCCACCCCGGGTCTAACGGGAGCTTGACCTGGGCCGTGTGCACAGCCAAGAGCTACAGAGTTGGACATGATGTCTATTTCATCCTTGGCCCTGGAGGGAGCAGGGTGCAGGGCCTGAGGCTTGGCTAGACTGGAGGCCCAGACTGAGTGCTGGCCTCACACCACCTGGTCTTTGCCCTCGGCCTCCCAGGTGACCAACTACCTGACCAAGAAGTTTGCGGAGCTGCAGAGCCCCAACAAGTTCAAGGTGTCCATGGGCCACGGCGGGAAGCCCTGGGTGTCGGACTTCAACCACCCCCACTACCTGGCTGGCAGGCAGGCACTGAGGACAGGTGGGTGCAGCTTGCAGATAGGGAGCCTGGCTCTGGGGGGCCATGCTCACACCCCTGGCCACGGGCAGTTCTGTCCCAGGGTGGCCCCTTGTAGGGTCTGGGCTCAAAGTTGGAGTCACATGACAGACCCACGGTGCCGCAGGCTGACCGTTCCGTTTGCCCCGCCCACAGTGTTTGGCGTGGAGCCTGACCTGACCCGGGAGGGCGGCAGCATCCCCGTGACCCTGACCTTCCAGGAGGCCACGGGCAAGAACGTCATGCTGCTGCCTGTAGGCTCTGCCGACGACGGGGCCCACTCCCAGAACGAGAAGCTCAACAGGTGGGGCCCCGGCACTGATAGGGTGGGGAGGGAGTCCAGGAGAGGGCCGCCCAGCGCTGCTGCGGGCACCCCTGGGTGTCTCTTGCTGCTCCTAGACCCACAAGCTTGACGCACACAGACGGGCAGTGTGTGGGCTCTGGTGGAGGGTAGCCCATTCAGGACGGGGAGTTCTATCTGGAATTGTCCAGGAAGACAGGAATACAGGGCCCAGCTCAGGGTGATGGGTAGGGTAGGGACTATTTCAGTTGTCATTCTGTCTTCCCCCAAATTTAAAAAAAATGCACGTCTCTCCAACTTCCTATCACCGGCCATAATTAACCTGAGTTGAAGCTTTGGGGCAGGGGGGATATAAGGAAGCGGGTGGGTGGGCTGCACACCAGGAGAGCTGGGCTTCGGGTGTTACCTGCCCCCCACCCCCGACACCATGGTCGCTTCTCTTCTCCACAGACACAACTACATCGAGGGGACAAAGATGCTGGGCGCCTACCTGTACGAAGTGTCTCAGCTGAAGGACTGAGTGCCCAAGGCCAGGGTGTGAGCCCACCCCGCACCCCCCCACCCCCGACAGCACCACTCTGCCCCTGCCCCACACCCACCCCCAGCACCTACCTGCCTGCCGCACACTAGCCTGGGTGCGGCTGTTCCCGGAGTGCTCCCCCTGGCACCAGGGCTCACCGCCTGGTCCGGCCTCAGGTGCTCAGGACTCCATGGCCAGCTCCAGAGGCCAGGGTCTTTCAGTAGGAAACTGGTGGTTTCTGGGTGGAGCTGACCTGGGCATGGCACTCAGCCCCATGAGGCCAGCCACCAGGGCCCTCCCTTGGCTGCAGAGCGACCTCCCCTTGACCCTGGCACCTTAGGCCTTTCCCATGGACCTCACCCCTCACCTGTTCTGTCCACCTCCCCACTCAGAACAGCTGAACGCTGTCTGTCCTTCCATCTCCCACCTGCTACTGAATAAAGAGTGAACATGCCAACAGGTCCCGCTCCCTAATGCACAGTGGGGTGTGCTGAAAGTCAGGGGGTTGGTCTCTAATGCACAGTGGGGTGCGCTGGGAGGCAGGGAGGCCGGACCCTTGAATAGTGGGGTATAATGGTAGGTGGGTTCATTGCGTTAACTCCTGAGCAGTAAGGAGGGGCAGGCGGGGGTCCAGGAGACGATGTCTGGAAACCTCTGCCCCCATGGTGGTGGTGGGGATCCACTTCTTACAGTGAAAAGTGCCCCCTCCACACCCTGCTGCTATGTCATAGAAAGCCAGAACCAGCCAAGGTCAGTGATGGGGGCTGCTGGTCCCCAGATTGGGGAGACCAGAGTGCACCCCGCAAGAAGTGGCACTGACCAAGGGCATGATTCCAGCACCCAGCCGGAGCCCCGAGCCTGTAGCAACTCCTGATGCAAATAGTCTGGTCCCGAGGCCACCACAGGGTGCCTAGAGCAGGAAATGTGGTCCCTGATATGTAGGGAGCGGGAGGTCAGTAGAGAAAGTACACCCCCAACTACCAGGCATGGTTTGTGAACATCCATCCTTTCACTGGACCCGGACACACACAACACAGTGCGTTACTCACCGGAACCAGCCCCACTGCCATCAGGATGGTCCCCACACAGGAGGCCCAACTCTCCCTACCGTTAGCAGACCAACAGCACCACCACCCACTCAAAGCTTCCAGGACAGAAGTGACAGCTCCCTGGCACACCTGATTAGTGCCACAGGTGAGGGGGTTAAATGGGACTCTACCCCCTGCTGGTCTCTCTTAAACAGGAAGGTCCAAGTAGGTGGACTGTAAGCTTTGACTAAGTGTGCCCACACCTTAGCTGAGGAGACCCAGAAAATAACCCCCTGAGGCCTTAGGATGCCAGCAGGGGGTGGAATGGGGGGCAGCATGCCCGCCCAGCCTGTTCACAGGACTTGGTGCTTGTCCCCATGCAGTGCCTGCTCAGCAGCCCAGAGGGCAGCGGATGGAAACTCTACCATGCCGCCGTCATGCGCTGCTGGAGCTCAATCTTCGCCAGCGGGGCTCCTTTCTCCCCATTCCTAGGCTTTGTTTGAACGAGCACCTCATGGTTCACACACAGGCCCTGCATGAGCACAGTCAAGTGTCCGGAATTCTCGTCGCTCAGTGTGATCTGTAGCATCTTGTGGTCTCCACAAATCCCTTTGCATAGTCAATAAAACACCTACCGCTTCCATGTTTTCAACCAAGATCCATCTGTTCAGGTCCCGCTTTCTCTTTGGAATTTCTGGCAGCTCCTTGTGAGGCGCCATCGTGGGACTAAGCACTGGGCAGCTACCCACAAGTTCAATGGTTCAAACTCACCAGCTGCGCCACATGAGAAAGATGGGGTTGTCTGTGCCCGTAAAGATGTCAGGTCTGGGAAACCCACAGGGGCAGACTTGCCCACAATGTTAGCTGCACGTGACACTCAGGTATTACTCAGTCCCTTCTGCCTTCTGCTGGGTCGCCTCTGGAAGGAGCGTGTAAGGGTCCTTTCCAGCCACTTGTCCAGATTTCTTGGCATAGGTGGGGCACAGCCCGCACTGCCTCTCCTTCCCTGTTGGAAGGAGCCCCATAGTTGGGATGTTATAAATCCCTGGAGTCACGTTTTTCCCCCCCGAATGCCTTCAGTGCAACTTGTACGACATCCTTCTATACCCTCAGTTCCTGATCATAGGAGACTTCCTGAAATGGTTGAACATCAACCAAAGATTTTTTGGTACAAAGCGTCTGCGTATCTTTCCGTCTTCCCTAGTACCTCCTGCATCGTTTGATTTCGTGCGCACTTTGCTGCTGTGAGGTGCTGTGGAGTCACGATGCTGCACACTGAATGCAGCCCTGGGTGGACCCATGGTTTCAGTGACCATGTCAATCACCTCGTTGAGAGGCCTGCCTTTCCCTGTCCGTCTACTTTATCCAGCTGTTTAACACTGCCCATAAAACCAAACCAAAAGCTGATGCTGACTCACAGCAACCCGGCAGGGCAGAGTGGAACTGCCCCTTTGGGTGCATGCCACTGTAACTCCTTACTGGGATGGAGAACAGGAGCAATCAATGGCCTGTCCACTCTCAGACCTATGTGAAGCCCCACCAGCGCCTTTTTTCGTTGACGTGGTCAATTCGGTTCCTGCATATTCCATCCGGGGAGGTCTGTGTGCACGGTCACCGTTCATGTTGCAATGATGTCCTTGGCCTTGCAGAGTTTGCTCATGTGGCTTCCAAGGTTACATCTGTCGCCAACGCCATGCTTCTCAACTCTAGGTCCTTCCTCTCTGTTTCCAATTTTTGTATTCCATTCAGCAGTGATTACCAATACATTTTGATTGCATGTGTGATCAATTTAAGACAGAAGAAGTTGGTAGAATCCTTTATTCTCTTCCTTTCTAGCTTTCATGGTTAGTGTATGAATTGAATGATAGTTGTGTTAACTGACTTCCTTGTAGGCTTGTAGCTATTCTTCGATCACAGACAGCTTTGTGCTTTACGACAGATCTTGAAATGTTCTCTTTGACGAAGAATGCAACACCATTCCTCAGTGGCCAGCATTGATCCATTTCAGCTCACTCATGCCTAGGCTGTCCATCTGTATCCATCCCATTTCTCTTGCTATGACCCCAGTTTTTCTAGACTCACTTCCGAATCCCACATTCCCATGACTAGTGGACGTTCACGGCGGTTTCTTCTTACTTTGGCACAGCAGGTGGAGGGTCTGAGAGCTTCGCTCTGTCGGAATCATGAAGATCGGCTGTGTGTTGAGGAGGCAGCCCTCCCCCTGAAGTATGCTGACTGCCTTGCGACCTGAGGAGCTCGTCTTTCTGCACGACGTCAGACAATGTTCACCAGGTTGTCAGTGGCTCATCCCTCGGGAGTGGGTCACCTCTTCCTGCTTGCAAGGCTCTCTGAGTCTGGAAGCTCTACTGAACCTGCTCAGCATGGGTGAGCCTGCTGGTCTTTGAAATACCGGTGGCTGCTTCCGGCATTACAGCAGCACACAAGCCACCACAGGAGGACAGACTGACAGGAATGATGAGTGAAGGATGCCCTCCTCTCAGTGGACATTCTTAGGGGTGCGAGTGGGGAGCGGCTGGCTGGGGAGACGTGCAGGGAGCTCAGAAGCAGGGGTCCGAGGCTTCCCTGTGAAAGGCCGGAGAGGACATGGTGCAGACCTGGCGGCCGTGACTCGAAGGCAGCACAGGTGACCTGCAGGTGACAGAGTGGCCATGCTCCGGGAAACAACGAGCTTGCAGACCCGGAAATGAGAATCGCATGCACTGGAGAAGCTCCTTTGTGGAGTTTTTTTGAGTGCTTGTTTGTTTTCAACTTCTTTGGAAAATGTAAAGCCACTCTTAGGTGGGAGGCGGGGGTTGGGCTGAGCAGTAGCCTCCATCCTCCTTGGGCTGGGAGGAGCTTGGGCACGGTGAATGCAGGGAGCAGTCTCCTGAGATTGAGCCCCCGGGAAGAGGCCCCTGCCTCGGCTGAGCTCCATGCCTTCACTGGAGCATGCTGGATGAGAAGGGGCCACAGAATGTGCTGGAAATTCACCCTTCGGGTGCCAAGGAAAGGGGCAAAGTGGACGTCTTGCTGGTGCCTGTTGTTACCTTTCTCAGGGTGGGGTGGGCGTGTCAGTGAGCTGTTGGCTTCTGGGGCTGCTGACTGCCAGGCTCTGGGAGCACAGACCCCAGGAGGAAGCTGTCATTGCGCTGTCTGGCCTGCCTGTGCGCACCTCTCCAGACCTGGGCACCCCAAGCCGAGTTGCTGCTGGTGGTGGAGTGGCCACTTCACACTGGGGGTCTGTAGGATGGCAGCCGGCCTGTCCAAACAATCCACATTGATAAATACCCAGACCAGAAAGCCAAACTGACTGCCATCAGGTCAGTGCCGACATAGTCACCCTATAGGACAGGGCAGAACTGCCCCTGGAGGTTTCCAGGACTAACTCTCTATGGGAGTAGAAAACCTCATCTTCCGCCTGAGGAGCAGCTATGGTTTTGAACTGCTGACTTTGGGGGTTGCAGGCCAATGCCTAACCCGCCAGTTACACTTTTTGTCACCTTGGCTGGTCAGTTGACTTGTTAGCCAGAACTGGGACGGGAGAAGAGTGTCCTCCAACTGCTCCAGCACTTTCTAGAACCAGTGAGAAGTTGGAAGTCATTTCTCGTAGCTCCTCCCCAACACCCCTCACCCCCAACCCCCACCACCCTGCCCTGCCCCCTGGGCTCAGCTGCAGCTTCTGGAAAGAGGCTCCAATCTCCCCTCTCTCTTTAGCCCCTCCTGCTCCCTCTCCCTTTCCCTCTCTCCCCATCCCTGCTCTCTCCTTGCCCTCCGGCTGCCCCCTCCCCTGATCTCCTCCCAAGCCCTTCCCATCTTTGAGTCCCCCTCCCCCCACAAGCTGCTCCTAGCAACCCCACCCCCTATCAGTCAGTCCTTGGCTTGGGAAGAGCCCCGCCTCCAGTTCTCAGGACTACATTTTGGTGGATGAACGGAGACCTTGGAGGAGCAGAGCAGAAGGCTTGGTTCCGAGCGCAGGGGACATAGGCCTGACCTGCCACCACAGGATGTTACCCAGGAAGGAAAAGGAGAACCGGGAGCCACAGTTGTGGGAGCAGACTGTCTTAGGGTGAACTCTGAGAAAGGCCTTTCCAGGCTTCCAAGGAACAGAGTGTCCTTCTGGGACAGTCTGCAATCATTTCCTTCCTCGCGTAGGTCAGGACCATTACTAAATTCCATGGTGTAAGCAAGACCCGTGGGAGGGAGCAGTCAGCTCACACCCAGGGAGCAGAGCGCAGAATGGTCGGACCTTCAACCAAGATCAGGTGAACACTCTCTGCAGTCCCCCAGGAAACGCTGAGACTCAGCATCCTGCGGGTGTTCAGTTATACTCCCTCCAGCCAAGGATATTCTTGCTTCTTTGTTGGCCTTCAAAGAAATCGCCAGCAGAACCTTTGTGTGAGGTCTTGTCCCAGAGTGCAGGGCCCATATACACCTGCCTCCGGTGGAGTGTCCCCTCGGCTCGAGCCCCCTGCGCGCCCCACTGTGTCTTCCCTCGACCCCCTGTGCGGTTGGTAGCAAGGCTGGTACTCACACACCTTCCTTCCTACTGGGGCTCTGTGTTCACTTAAAGTCATCCATCCCAGCGTTCTCAACTTTCCTCATGCCGTGGCCCTTTAATGCAGTTCCTCATGTGGTGGTGACCCCACACCCATAAAATTATTTTCGTTGCTACTTCATCACTGTCATTTTGCTACTGTTATGAATCAGGTGACTCCTGTGAAAGGGTCATTTGACCCTCAAAGGGGTCGAGACCCACAGGTTGAGAACTGCTTAGCTATCCACATAGGTGCATATTTGTTTGTTTTCTGAGCAGACGGCATGCTCTCCAGCCTCCCTGACCCACAGAACCCCAGAGGAGTGGACACCTGCTGTGAGTGTGCATGGAGGGGGATGCGGGCACTAAAATGCACTTGCCACAAAGTGGATTCCAATTCAGAGCGACCCGATAGGATACAGGTTCCAGAACCAAACCCAACTCTGTACCCCCGAGTCCGTCTGAGTCACAGTGACCCCAAGGGACAGAGTAGAACTGCCCCTGTGGGTTTCAGAGGCTGTACATGTGCTGGGGAGCAGACAGCCTCATCTCCCTCCAGAGGGGCAAACCTCCAGGGTCCGGACTCAAAGCTCAAGTTGATGCCAGCTCATAGTGACCCGGAGGACAAGGGAGGAACTGCCGCCGTGGGTTTCTGAGCCTGTGACTCTTTCCGGGAGAAAAGAGCCTCCTCTTCCTCCCCAGGGACAAGCGAGCGAAGGCCCAATACCAAAGCCTGGAACGGCCAAATACGTGCTTCCCCGTCATGCCAGGGTCCCCGCAGGCAGCCCAGGGCCCAATCCTGTGGGGGCTGGAGGCGTCCCCTCTCCAGACATGCCTCTTCTCTAAGGTCTGGGGACCCGCCCAGGTGCGGCGGGACAGCGAACAGGAGAGAAACTTCCCAATCCTGATTGGGACCCCTGAGTGACTGTCCATCCACGCCCAGCGCCCTCTTGGGGCTCTCTGTAGCCGCCCATGGTCCCATCGAAAGGGAACCTGGAGGGGAGGTGGGTTGTGCATTGGACGGCTATCTGCACACTCCCAGGTCAACACCCCCAGTGGCTCCCGGGAGAAAGCCCGCTGCCTGCTCCCATAGAGAGTCACAGTCTCAGAGCCCTAAGGAGCAATTCTTCTGTCTCCCATGGTGTTGCTGTCTCAGAACTGACCCCACCACCAGGAGTGTGACGAGAAGTCCATTCACTGAAAGGCCTCTGTTCCATTTCTTGTCTGGGGAAGAGAAGGAAGGATTGAGATTCCATGCCCCCCCCCCCAATCTGCGTCTGAGTGACCACTCTGCCCTTCCTGTCCCTCTGTGGGCTGGGAAGGGGAGCCCAGGGGCTTGGTGTCACCCCTCAGGCCTGCTCCAGGGGCAACAGGTGTACCCCAGTCCCCTCAAGCACAGATCTGACTTGTTCATCCCCTCTTTGAGGCCTCAGGCCATGTCCAAAGATGCTGGACCCAGGAGAACTGACCTCCAGTGACCTGGGGCTCAGGCTGCAGCGAGCAGGGGTGACGGGATTCCGGGTAGGTTCCGGCTAGAAGAACTGTGTAGGTCCCCTCCAGTTCTGTTTATGAGGGTCCAGGACATAGGCTGCCACAGTTTGTGTCTTGTGATCCCACCCCCGCACTGACCCAGTCCACATAAGAGCCCCAGTACAGTGTTGTGGTCCAGAGGTACGCTGACGTTTTGAGAAGCACTCCTGGCCTTGGGTAGTCCACCCCCATGTCCTGGGGGCCCAGCCCACACCAGGGCCCCCCCGTCCAAGGACCAGCCCTCCCCCTGCCCAACCGATAGAGCATCTGGGCCGCCACACCCATCAGATGACTGCCACTACCTCATCCGTGTCTGTGTCTGAGGCGCCTTGTGGCTGGGATGCGCATCTCTGAAGCATCTTTGTCCCCAGACATGAATGGACCCTCTGTGCTGGCACATCCTCCACCTGGCAGCGGGCCAGGGGCAACATCAGAGAGGTATTTAATGGCGGGCCGGCCTTGGGGACCCCCTGCCCCTTCGTGCCAAGGCCCAAGACAACTGCTCCAGGCTCCCAGCTCCAGCCCAATGGACCCCAAGCTCAGGAGGATGGTGAGTACCAGGGGGCTCAGGAGGATGGTGAGTACCAGGGGGCTCA